ACCCTATTTCTGTTGCTTCTTGCCTGCCCTTAGCAATGGTGTTTGCCACCCACCTAAGCTTCCCTCCAGCCCCTCTCCTTTGCCAAAGGAATTGTCTTTTAAAAGCATTTTCTTAATAATGTCTCCAATTTTATTCCACAATTCTTCTGGTTCACAGTCAATAGCAAGTCTTTTCCTTATGTATACTTTAAATTCCTCTAGAATATTATTTCCATCATATTTTGGCATTATGCTTCTGTTAATTATCTTTTTCATCTTGATTCTGATTTTTGATATTAAGAGTTCATGGTTGCTACCTACAATCTGCTCCTGATCTTGCTTTAATAGCAAGAATACAGCTTTTCCATCTTCTAATTCCAGTTACATAGTCTATTTGATTTCTGTACTGGCCTTCTGGTGAAGCCCATGTGTACATCTGACTGGTTTCTGATGTACAGTGGTACCTTGGCTCATGAACTTAATCTGTTCCACGACACTGGTCATGACCCAAATTGGTCATAAGCCAAGTCAAATTTCCCCCATAAGGTTCAATGTAAATAAGGTTAATCCGTTCTGTAAATATTTTTTTTAATCATGGGGAAGACGGGCACGATCGTGGGTGCACTCGGGGGGGGGGGTAGACGAGACAGGCATGATTGCAGGTGCGCTTGTGTGGGGGAGATGGGAGCAATCATGGCCATCTCCCCCCCCCCCGCACGACCGTGATCATGCCCATCTCCCCTGCAGGATTGCAACCGTGATTGCAGCCATCTCCCCATCCCCCAAGGACGACCGTGATCACACCCGTCCAGGGAATATGGGTGCAATTGCGATCATCACCTGATGTGGTGTTTGAGACCTGAGGAAATTTTTTTCCTAAATTTCTGTTCATGACCAGATTTGGTAGTGAACTGCGGCGTTCACAAGCCGAGGTACCACTGTAGTTCTCTGCAGTAAACAGAAGGTTGCTTCTATTTTTGCCTTCCAGTCACCTAGGATTATCAACATGTCTTTTTTGGTGGGTTATCAATTGCCTCTTGGATATTTGCATAAAAGTTTTAGATTTCTTCTTCAGCAGCTATTGTTGGAAGGTAAACTAGAATGATAGTTCTAGAAATAGGTTTTCCCCTGCGTTTCCGCATAGCAAACATTAATTAAGCAGAAACAAGCAGACAGAGCCTCAAGTAAGGCTAACTCAATTACTAAAATTATTTTTCATATTTTGAGAAGGCATTCATGTATAAAGTCTGAATGAAACACTGCTCAACTGATCTGTGAACCAAATGTACCCTCTGCTGTAGCACAGTAGAAACCACATCATGGCTGTTTCCCCCATCAATCCAGTAAGGTCTAAATGCAGGAACCACAAGATAAGGAATAAATGGTATGGTTCGTTAGCGTTGTTCAACACTCTGAGATAGCTCTTGTGCCACTTCAGATCATATGAGACCGCCGCAAGATACATTTGCTAATCACTCCACAGTGTTATAAACATGTCACAAGAATCTTTGGAATAACCTTCCTACTGTGGCCTGCCTGACATCAAACTTGCCATCTTTTTGCCGCCAGGTCAAGACAACTCTTTATTTGGAAGCCTTTAAAAATCTCCTTGGTTACACAGGGGTTCAAGGGAATTAACCAGGTGATTCTTTTCCTCTGCAGGGTCTTTTTACCCCGTTTTTTAAAAATTATTATTATTTGGCTATTTTAAATGAATTTTAAATTCATTTTAACATTGTTCTGTTTTTATGGTATTTGTGCTGTATTTTATTGTTTTATTGTATACACTGTCATAAACCACCCAGAGAGCTTTGACTATGTGGTAGTATAGCAATGAAATAGATAATAATAAGTGTTAAATACTGGAAAACTGCTGAGCCATGATTCTACAGTAAACAATGCAGTCAAGACAGTTACTTGCTTTTAAATGCTTTCAGTTACATACACTGGCTTATATCACAAGGCAACTTAGCTTATGGAAGCTCACTAATGGAAAGTTTCCCATCTGTTCCTCCCTACTGCAACTATCTGTAAGCCAGAAAGCAAGCACTTTGTGCAAACCACTTGGTATTTGCAGTCACCACATGCAAATGCCCCAGCTGTTAATGTAAGTATGAAATGGAATACTTTGTGGGTTAAAAGCTCAAACTATGGGCTAATAAAGATCAATTATCTTTAATTTTGATTAAAATCAAACCAAGAGTTAACTCTGGGTTGTTTAATTTATAAACCCAGGTGTTCTGATTTGGACATTACCATGACAACTTATGAAAGGGATGTTTGTAGGTTGTTGCTGAAAACTGGATGCTGCTCATACACAGCATGCATCCATGGAAATATTAGGATAATTAACCTACAATTTGCTGCCCAATGCCATCATAACATGAGAAACAGGTCACATTCTTCTTTGAATGTTTGAAGAAAAGGTGCATTTAATTTCCAAAAAGCAAGCCTAGTTTTAAAAAAGGATGTTTCACTTCTATAGGCTTCACTGTGTGACCAAGATGCACATTGCAAACAGAATGTTTTCCAGGGACTTTTTTCCTATAATCTAGCCTTCTCTGATGATGTTAAATAATCTCTATTCCCTAGGAAGCAAAGGTGTTATTCTATGGTGCCTACTGCACAGTTCTAAGACATTTTGCCAAAGAACAGGAAAAGAAGATAACTGTGGAACAGCAATACTGTAGAATAGCATGCTGTCTCTAAGGGAGTTTGGTTCATGTTAGAATAATTGGTATGCATTTCTCATGCTAAGGCTGGAATTCAAAATGTTGTTTGTGTAGGCTGTTCTGCTAATGGTAACATGCAACTGTGCCTTCTGGTGGAACTCACTCCCAAGAGAGATTTAATTAGTCTCGTCATTAATGTTTGTGGGTGGGGAAGTCAAGACATTTGTATTTTGTTGGGTTTATAACGGCTTTTGAACTTCACTGGTTTGTCTTCTATTATCTGTGTATTTTAACCTTAACTGTGTAAATTTTTAAAAGAGGCTATTTCTACAGAAGCTATTTTTATTTTTTGTTTTCATAATGCTTTTACTGCCCTCAAATGTTATTGTAATCCAGATTTGTTATTGTCTGGAACTGCCTAATCCAGTGATGGTGAACCTTTTAGAGACTGAGTGCCCAAACTGCAACCCAAAATCCATTTATTTATTGCAAAGCGCCAACACTGCAATAAAACCTGAAAACTGAGCTTTTAGTTTTAAACAACTCACAGCCAGTCTAACCAAATCTCTCTCTCTCTCTCTCTCCTTGGCAGCGCACTGACCGGCCATGTGAACGCTCGGACGAGTCACGGCTAATGAGTTGTGGCTCATGATGTCATTGTCTGGCACTGCTATTCTTTTCCAAGAATGCCCATGGCCCCTATGTGCGCTGTTATCCGATGCTTGACTGCTGGGGCAATGCTGGCACGAGTTGGCTCACATGCCGACAGAGAGGGCTCTGTGTGCCCACTGTGGCACACATGCCATGGGTTCACCACCACTGCCCAAACCCTACCCTGGTGCACTCTCCCTAACCCTAATTTTATCCCTAATAGGAGTAAAATACCATTGAAAGGGGCGATTTTGAAAAAGCCTTGAGTAACTTTTTCTGCACAGCTCATCATTTCTGCCCATTCTAAACACATTCCAACCATTAAAATCATGTCAGGACACCTTGTTTTTCTAACCCTAACCCTACCCTGGTGCACACCCCGAACCCTAATAAAGGGCTAAAGTTCCACTGAAAATATGATGATTTTGAAAAAGCCTTCCTTGAGTGGCTTTTTCTGCACAGCTCATCATTTCCGCCCATTCTAAACACATTCCAACCATCAAAATCATACCAGGACACCTTGTTTTTCCAACCCTAACCCAGTGATGGTGAACCTTTTAGAGACCTGAGGGCCCAAACAGCAATCCAAAACCCATACTGCAATAAAACCTGAAAATTGAGGTTTTAGTTTAGAAAAAACAACTCACAGCCAGTCCAAGCATATATATATCCTTGGCAGCACACTGACCAGCCATACAAAAGCTTGGATGAGTTGTGGCTAATGAGTTGTGGCTTGTGACTTCATCACCTGGCACTGCTACTCCTTTCTGAGCATACACACGGCCCCTGTGTGTGCTGTTATCCAATGCTTGGCTGCTGGGGCGATGCTAGGACAACTTGGCTGGCATGCCAACACAGAGGGCTCTGTGTGTCCACTGTGGCACGCGTTTCATAGGTTCCCCACCACCAGCCTAAGCCAATTCATTTCTAAAAAGGTTCTGACAGCATTTAACAGTTTCTTTTCCATGGGAGAGCTTCCCTACCATCCCCAACCAGCTTTGACATGTTTGAAAATTGTCAGATATCTAGTTGTGCCAACAACCAAGATTATTTTCTGAGAATCTTATATCAACACTCTAACAGAGAGTATTTGGGTTAATCACAAATAATTTTGTTCTTGAAATCTAAGCTAGGAGCAATCTGAACCCTCAAATCCTGGACATAATCTTGAACTAATATGATCATTTCCCGCAGGTTTAATGAATAAATATGGATCATTTGATAATAAATTAAAATACTAAAGTGTCTTAATTAAAATAACAGAGAAAGCACTTCAAGAAGGATTACTTTCTTGATTCAAGGTAGTCAATGATTTGAAAAATCTGTAGATAACTCATTTTTCAATCTAGTTGCTAAAAGGTTTAATAGCTTGCAATGTTGATTCAACATTACTGAATCAATATTTTAAAAGCAGCATTGCATTCACACTGAGAAAAGAGGAAAGTCTACCAGCCTCAATACCCAGTGGCTGTGCAAGGGCTCCCTGGTGGAAAGAGAAAGCACCCATAACAACCAAGTTTCCCATACCACAGTCTGCAACACCACCAGGAGAGGCAAATAGTTTGTTCCTAGAAACAAAACCAGGCAGCAGGCACAAAACTGTAAGTAGAGAAGTCTTCAAAGCAGTTATTTCATAAAACACACGGCAAAGCTAAGACAGCAGAAAGATCCTACTGCTTCAGGCACATTGATACATACCCGTCTGTCGATTTTATCACCCTGTGAATCATATATTAAAAATGATAAGGGAATGTTGCAAGTCCAATATATATTTGTACAATGACATGTTACATTCTATTTTATATTATTTTTGTTTACATTGTAAACCATCCAAAGAAAGCTCACACTGAAGGGTGACATACGAATCTATAAACAATGATTAATCAAGTAAACAATGGCTAGTCTGCTACAGCATAAGCATGATCCAGAGAACATGCTTTTGTAGGAGAGGGAAAACAACATGGAAACCTAGATGTCTGGCTATTCTAAAGTATAATATAGGTCAGATGTACAGAATATGGTTTATGGTATCTTACTGTATTTGTATTTGGCCATCTATTCCTCCCCAAACAGATGTTTTACAAACAACAGCGTGGAATATGCCCAGTAATTATGTAAATAATATGCAAGTACAATATATCACCATCCATACTAAAAATGTGCATATATACAAACACTTGCTTCAACAATCCTGAAAGTAAATTTGGAGGCTTATATAGGAATATTTTATGGAATGAATCAAAGTAGCAAGAGGAAGACAAGCTTGTTTAACTTCTACTTGCTTAGCAACCATAAAGGCCAAGTTTTTTTTGTACCCATACAGTTCTTAGCACAACTTCCATTTGTAACTCAGGTATTTATCCTTGTCCTTCTTCCTGTAAGAAAGCAAATCAAATCCTGTTTGTGTCCAGGTCTCCATGCTATCAATGAAATTTAAGTTAGTCATGACTTACTTGCCTCACTTAATTTGTCTATTCTATATATGGACCTAATCCACAGTCTACTTAGAGCAACTTTTTGAGCACAAAATAATTAATTACTGACATTTGCCTCTGTTTTTAGTATATCCACTAGGAATCAACATGTTAGAAGACAAAAAAACAAAAAACAAACAAACCAGCCTTTTTACTACTAAAGAAAACTGTATACCTTGATAGTGTTCCATGAGCATACCAAATGACCTATGAATATATGAAAGGAGAAATCTGGATAATATGGATAAGGTACCTGAGACAGAATGTTGGTGCACTGTTGAAGTAAAGACACTGGGGGATTACCAATACTTGTTGCAAGCTGTACTCTTAGCAGCTGTTCTTTCAAGGCAGCATTCTCTTGCAAAGCATGAGCCAGTGCTACAGCTGCACACCAGTTTGAAAGGGAGTCTGTAGAAAAAAGTCCTCCACACAGTAGCTGTCCTGCCGAGACTGAATTTCCAGTAGCTGAAATAGCAAGTATATAGCTTAGTGACATCAGAACATTTCTAGGCTTGTATTTTCGACACATTTACCAGAGCTTTTACAAATACCTGGGTGCATTTAAAGCATTAAAAAAGTGGTACACAGTTCTGATGTGGTAGTTATGTCACTGACAACCTAATGGACAGAAGATTAAGTTTTCTTCTGCAAAGAAAGAAAAGCACTGTACAGTCTGGACCACTGAAAGTAGCAGGCAGGGAAAACAGACAGCATCTTTGAGCTGCTGCCATTCACCTGCTCAATAATACTGTTCAAAGCTTTAGCTCAACTTGTCCATTCAAGGTTCATTTTCCCAACTCTATCTAGCATTCTCTTGTCCTACAAAGTAAATAAACTCTATAATATTCTATAATATACTATTTATACTATTATAATATGTAAACAATTTGCAAATGCTTTCTTCAAATTTGGAAAAGTGTAATAATAGTATGAAGAAGTGGTCAATGGATACCACCTATATTTTTGACAGTAAAGGGGGAGGGAAAGTTCAATCCCCTGTCAGTAACTAGATTTAAATTCAATGCATTTGTTTGCCCTTGTATTTGAAAAAAATCATTTTAGAAATTTATGAAGAGAAACAAGTTCTGTATTAACTCTAACTTTCACAGGGCAATTTGCCTCCTTCAGAAGTGTATGTATTTCAGTAGGGTGGCAGGAATGGACAGAGATTTTTAGTAACTTTCACAGGGCTTTCTACTTTCTTTCCGTGTATTAATCAAAAAGGAATTGCCACCATTTAAGGCAGCTGCTTTTTCAGCATACAGGACTCCACAGCATCTGTTTCAGAAAAAAACTATCACCCTCTAATAAATGCTAGTGATGTGAGATAGCAGAAGTATCATTAGTGCATCCAATGTGGAAATATCCAGTGGTGTATTCTCCCTTCTTGACAGAAGTTTTCAGACACACCAACTTGGTCATAAATACATCATTCTTGTTTTAAAATGTCACATCCTGAAAGTTATCCTTTGGGCACTACCAGTGGACTATACAAGCCCTCATTGTGGCTAAGAGACTATAGAAGACAGTCATACTATAGAAGACAAATCAACTCACTCAACCACACAACAGACTGAAGACCTCATAACACTGGCATCCTGAGAAAATATACTATCGACAACAGTGTAGTCAACCTACCTCAACCTATATTAGTGATGTGGAAAAAGGAACTTTGAATATATGTGTGCATCTGTATATGTAGACATATACAGAGGGGGTGCAAAAGTATACAGTTTTTATTATGAAAAAACAATAGCTTTATTAAGTCACAATAAGGATGACATACAAATTGTAATTAAGTACAACCTCTTAAGTGCTCAAATTGCTGGCCTTCAGCATTTACATATTCCTGTAGTCTAGTTTCTCACTCAAAACACTTTGGCACATGGTGAGGAACTCTGTATAACTCTTATAACTGTATACCTACTTTTGCACCCCCCCGCCCGGGTATTATTAGTAACATTCTCAAGATCAATTTGATGCATCTCTGATCATTACTGGGTGACTGCGTGTTTCCTCTACCCTTTTCTTTTTCAGTATTTTCGTGTTTTTGAAAATAAAAAAAGCAGCAGCAGAACAAAAATCAGCAGACTGGTGGCTTTGTAATATTTTACAGAATGGTCTAGCATCATCCCCACTGTGCCATTCCACAAGATGTTATAAAGGCACTGTGTTACAGATTGCCATTCCAATGTCAGTTGTGTAACAGCTTTCCTTGATGTTTCAGGGAAGCACCAAGAAACTAGAAAGCGCTCTTCTATCACCCCTCATATTCTAAATTCCCCCAGAGATCACAATTTTTCCTCTTTCCCCAAAATGCCACTTTGTCTTCTCAAATTGCTCCCTCCCCAAAATCCAGCATATACTTCAACCCAGTACTATTTTGTATATGACCACTCCTAAGTTCCAAATTCTAGTAATCCAAAATCTCTACTAAGGATGTCAGAAAAATGAATTCTGCAGGAGACTGGCTTTGTCTGCATCACATGGATTGTACTGTTACTTTGTGTGTGTGTGTGTAGGTATCTTCACAAGTGAGCATTTGTCCTAATGTGCATTAGTGCAAGTACATACTTGCAAACTTAAAAAATCATATAAAAATTCTATTTCTTCAATGAATGGATGTTGAATGAAAGGCACATGAGAATCTGAGAAATACAAATAAAATGGATTTTATTAAATCTGTACAAAATCTGGCTCTCCCATAAAATCATATATATATAAATTTAAAATTCTATACCATCAATTGTTGAAGGTAGAAGTGTTGATACAATTTCTCCTTGTCCCTTCTGATTTTTGTATAAGAAGCACTGGAAACAGTAAAGGACAGCACAGCGTAGCACAAATGGTTGCCTTTCATTTACCATTGACATAAGTAGTACTACAATTGCAGGCCTGTCAAGTATGAAAGCAGACAGTCATGCTAAAAAAGAAAAAGTGGTTGTGCAAACATATGTGTGTGAGCACGTGCACATACAAACTCAGATATATAAACATACAATGGGATTAAATTATTCACAGCCAAGGGAAAAATGTATCCACTAACCAGAAGTCATACACCCTCTGTTCCTCTATAACAAGGGCAGTGTTAGAAAATATTAAAACTGCTGATACTACCCCACTTCCAAAGTCAATCAATGCTTTTACTTTTCTTTGTTGTTTAAGTTTTTCCCAATTATATACTATACTAAAAGGCAATGTTCTACTACCAGCATAAAGAAACATTCATTGCTTAAGTTTGTTGGTTGGCAACAGAACAAATTTGATTCCCTCAATCTTGCCTACAGGGTTTCTTGTTTCTTCCTAAAGAAACAAACATACAACAAGCATATTCTTTTGATTTGGAATATGCTCCATTTCAGGGAGGGGGTTGAAGTAATTCATTTTTAAAAATCTCACCCCCCCCCCCACACACACACTCTGAATATATCAAGAGCTGGTGTGGTAGTTACAGTGCTGGACTCAGTCCCAAGAGATCAAGATTTTTGTCCCCAATCAGCCATAAAATTCACTGGGTAAGGTTGGGCCACTCAATTACTCTGCATCTAACCTACCTCACAGGGTTGTTTGTAAGGATAAAACAAAGCTATGTACGCTACTTTGCATTCTTCACAAGAAAAAAGGCAAGATACAAATGCAATGTAATATAACAAATTAGTTTTGCTCTCCCATGTATATACATTATTATAGACTTTACCAGATCCAATTCAACATTAGTCCTTTCTTGTACATTGCACTTTTAATTTACATATAGCTTTACAATCATAATATACATACTTTAAAAAACTCAGAAAAATACTCAGCTGGGTATATGAAAATGACTTATCCAAAGTCAAACAATGACCATAAAACAATCCTTTCATTTTTGCTATTTCTCTCTGGTATTCAATGAACTGGTTAAATCAGTGTGTAGAATTGAAATGCTGCTGGTTAATCAGTGGGCAGTTTTAACATGAGCATTTTCAGATATATATTCTCATATCGTCTTTACCAGCTGATTTCTTTTTATTCTTTGTTCAGACATAAAAGGTTCATTCCTCCTTTCCATCGTTAACTCTTGTGCAGCTTTCTGTGTACTCCAAACATGCAGGCTAGGGCCATCCTCCTACTAAACAGAAGTTTACTACAGCAGATTGGTACACCTACCTATAAAGAATTTTACTAACACTTATTTATTACTTTTTTAACCACCCTATAGCTGTGCAATGATCTCTGAGCAATGAACACATAGAAAAGTAGTTTAAAACATATTAAGAATGAAATATATTATTTGGCAGACCTTGGATATCCTTATTTCCGCTATTCCTCCCCCGACAACACACACATGCCTGGGATCTGTACCTGCACCAAACTGGCACCGAACAGATCTAATGCCATCACCTTACATTTTCTAACATCAGGATTAGGGGGTAAGTGTGCCACAGCATCCTGATGTGAAAGCTAGTGGGGATAACCTAGAACTTTCAGGGAAAAGACTAAGGGATGTTAACTCAGTGACAGAACACATGTTTTGCATGAAAGTCTCATGATCTACATTCTTCAGTGAAAAGGCTCTCAGAGCACAAAGACTGGCTCCTACTGGAGACTCCAGAAAGCTGCAGCAATTCAGTAATATTTTTTAGACCTTCAACCCCACATACTCCCAATTACAAAGGAAAAGATAGGGCACAGATGCAGTTTTCCATATTGTCAAAGAACAAACCATTGTGGCTCCCAACTTGTTGCTAAAAAATTAAGCTATAGAAATTTCATAAAACCTCAGAGAGGCTTCGACTTAATTCCCGATTCATCTGATGAAGTATCATATTTCTGGTTCTGCACAAACTAATTGCACTTACACATCTTGCCCTTTTGCATATTTATGTTTAAAGTAAATAGCACCAAGATTTTCCTTACCATACCTTGGTGGATTTGAAGGTGCATTTACTGAAGCAAAGTAGTCTTGGTTCATTTGACATCCTCGAATGACCTCTGATACAGTGTTAATCGTCTAAAAGTAATCAAATAAACAATATCCACTGAGAGTCGAATTATCAGAACTCTGAGTTGTAGAATGTATTGGATTTAATATCTTTAACAAACACTCACAGTATCAAGTCTCTATGGGTGCTCACAGAAATACAAAGCTTATCTTTGTATGGCAATTATTTCAGTGAAGACAGTAAGGTTTTTAAAGATTGAACAAGATTGCTTTATTCGCAATTCACATAACAGGGATAATGAAAGAAAAAGAACTCATCCAAGGTTAAACAAATCCTCTAGCCTCAGTTATGTGCTGGTTTATCCAGTGATGTTAATAGGCATGGGTTGGTTCACGTATGTTAATCATTTGACAACTTGCATGTGTGAGACATACAACATATCACAGAAGTGAGTACACTCCTCACATTTTGTAAATATTTTGTTATATCTTTTCATATGACAACCCTGAAGAAATGACACTTTGCTATAACGTAGTGAGTATACAGCTTGTATAACTGTGTAAATTTGCTGTCCCCTCAAAATAACTCAACACACAGCCATCAATGCCTAAACCGCTGGCAACAAAAGTGAGTACACCCCTAAGTGAAACTGTCCAAGTTGGGCCCAAAGTGTCAATATTTTGTGTGGCCACCATTATTTTCCAGCACTGCTTTAACCCTCTTGGGCATGGAGGTCACCAGAGCTTCACAGGTTGCCACTGGAGTCCTCTTCCACTCCTCCATGATGACATCACTGAGCTGGTGGATGTTAGAGACCTTGCGCTCCTCCACCTTCCGTTTCAGGATGCCCCACAGATGCTCGATAGGGTTTAGGTCTGGAGACATGCTTGGCCAGTCCGTCACCTTTACCCTCAGCTTGTTTAGCAAGGCAGTGGTCATCTTGGAGGTGTGTTTGGGGTCATTATCATGTTGGAATACTGCCCTGCGGCCCAGTCTCCGAAGGGAGGGGATCATGCTCTGCTTCAGTATGTCACAGTACATGTTGGCTTTCAAGGTTCCCTCAATGAACTGTAGCTCCTCAATGCCGGCAGCACTCATGCAGCTCCAGACCATGACACTCCCACCACCACGCTTGCTGTAGGCAAGACACACTTGTCTTTGTACTCCTCACCTGGTTGTCGCCACACATGCTTGACACCATCTGAACCAAACAAGTTTATCTTGGTCTCATCAGACCACAGGACACGGTTCCAGTAATCCATGTCCTTAGTCTGCTTGTCTTCAGCAAACTGTTTGCGGGCTTTCTTGTGCATCGTCTTTAGAAAGGCTTCCTTCTGGGACAACAGCCCTGCAGACCAATTTGATGCAGTGTGCGGTGTATGGTCTGAGTACTGACAGGCTGACTCACCACCCCTTCAACCTCTGCAGCAATGCTGGTAGCACTCATACGTCTATTTCCCAAAGCCAACCTCGGGATATGATGCTGAGCACATGCACTCAACTTCTTCGGTTGACCATGGCGAGGCCTGTTCTGAGTGGAACCTGTCCTGTTAAGCCGCTGTATGGTCTTGGCCACCATGCTGCAGCACAGTTTCAGGGTCTTGGCAATCTTCTTATAGCCTAGGCCATCTTTATGTAGAGCAACAATTCTTTTTTTCAGATCCTCAGAGAGTTCTTTGCCATGAAGTGCCATGTTGAACTTCCAGTGACCAGTATGAGAGAGGAGAGCAATAACACCAAATTTAACACACCTGCTTCCCATTCACACCTGAGACTTTGCAACACTAACGAGTCACATGACACCGGGGAGGGAAAATGGCTAATAATGCTCAATTTGGACAGTTTCACTTAGGGGTGTATTCACTTTTGTTGCCAGCGGTTTAGACATTAATGGCTGTGTGTTGAGTTATTTTGAGGGGACAACGAATTTACACTGTTATACAAGCTGTATACTCACTACTTTACATTGTAGCAAAGTGTCATTTCTTCAGGGTTGTCACATGAAAAGATATAAAATATTTATAAAATGTGAGGGGTGTACTCACAGCTGTGATATACTGTACATCCCAAACAGAATTTGCATCACATTCCACAAAGCAATGATGCTCAAGGGTGAGCAGGGACATTCATCTGCAACTCCAATGCTTAAGAAGTGAGGCAAGAGCAATTGAATTTAAAGCCTGTGTATGCATTGACCCTATTCCTTGACAGTATGAGGTATTCAAGTTGGAAAAAAGCAGTTTTGATTGAGTGCATAATTCACTGCAGGTTTAAGAAGTTTCTCAACTGAAAAGTTATTTAGAACAATGGAACATATGGAACTATTTGCAGCACAATCCTATGGCTGCTGGACAGCGTCTAGAAGGCCATAGGATTTTTCAAAATCGCTTGGAAACTTGTCTATAAGGGTGAAGCTGGGACTCTGCAGCTGGTGCTGAAAGAACTGTGCAGGCTGCACAAGATCACAACACCAAGCTCAAAGATGGGCCTTTTGGGGGAAGGGAGGAGACAGGTTCTGCCAGCATATGCAGTAGATTGGCCATCTGAAGTGTTTTGCATGCTGGGAGGAACATGGAGCTCCTCCTGCCATGCACAGGATTTCCATTATCTTCCAAGTTTGGATGGTTACAGGCGACCTCGTTGGAATGTGTCCTTAATCTGTCACCACAGTAAATAAATGTCAACAACATTTAGTGTCAACAACTCTAATATTAAAAATTACTTTAACACAGATTTTTAAAAAATCAGAACAAGTGACTGTCTATGTTTCAAAGTTGTGTAAAAATTACAAGAATCAATGTCTTTACTAAATCAATTACTAATGAATAGTATTACATCCCCTCTTGCCTGATCAAATTTTGTAACATCTGTTCTCAATTCAAGCCCTATCCAGGATAAAATGCCAATCAATTGCCAAGTGTATACTCAGGACCAGACCCCCCTCCCTCCCTGCAACACCTGCCACGCCGCCGCTGCAACTCCCGCTGCGCCACCGCCGAGGCCCAAGTGAGACCTGAGGCGCGCCACGGAGCCCGGGGGCCAGCTGATGCCGCTCCCACGGCCACCACTGGACCACCCTGGAAAAGGAGGACTCTAGGGCCGCCGACCGACATTGCGGAGGAGGACGCCGCCATCTCGCCGGCCAGCCGACGGGTTTCTGCATCCGTCTCTGCTCCCCCGCCACCGGCGTTGGTGAGAGCAACGCAGGATTGTGGGGTGGGGCATGCGGGCGGGCACCAGCTTAACTCGCCGGACGCGGCCTGGGGCTGGCGGCCGAAGGGCGACGGCCAAAGGGCGGTCGCCGCCGTTTGTGGCTATGCGGGGGTTGGGCTGGTGAGGGACTCTGTCGGAGGGCGGAATTTTTATTGGGGGGGTAGATGGGGAGTTTTACATTGTTTTAATATTTTTATTGTATTTTAATCTGTTTTTATGGAGTTGTCCCTGGCCACGTTGATGGTTGAGCTACCTGGGGAGCGCGTGGGTGCCGCCATTGGGGTGGTCACGGACAATGGACGTTACAGTGGTGGGGGTTTAATGTGTCCGCATAGGAGGAGGAGGGACAGATGGCTGACACCTGTCCCTCCTTCTGGTTCTATCTCCAGTCAGAGGGCTCCAGGTAGTCTTGTCAACCGCCCCTCGGGCCTGATGGTGCTCTTGCTTAATGCCAGGTCGGTCCACAATAAATCGTCCCTCATCCACAACCTGATTGTGGATGAGGGGGCTGACCTGGCTTGCATAACAGAGACCTGGGTGGGAGGGGGGGATGTCACCCTCTCACAAATGTGCCTGCCTTCGGGTTCAGCACCGTCCACACCTGGAGGGGAAGGGAGGGGGGTAGCTTTGGTTTACCGAGCCTCCATCTCCCTCGCGGGGCTTCCAGTCCCTTTGAGGCCAGGGCTAGAGTGTCTCTACTTGGTGCTGGGCGGCCGAGACAGATTGGGGATTCTGTTGGTGTACCGTGCACCCTTCTGCCCAACAGTCTCCCTGCCTGAGCTGATGAAGATTGTCTCGGACCTGGTGTTGAGGACTCCAGGATGTTGGTCCTGGGGGACTTCAATCTCCATGCCAAGACTGGTCTGACCAGGGCGGCTCAGGACTTCATGGCCTCCATGACGGCCATGGGGCTGTCTCAACATGTCACAGGCCCAACCCATAAACATGGACACACTCTGGACCTGGTTTTCTCGACGGGGCAGGAGAAGGGTGGTCTGAGGGTGAGGAATTTATGTCTGACACCCCTGTCATGGTCAAATCACTTCCTCATGAGGTTTGTGCTCGAGAGCAGCCTTCCCCTCTGTAAGGGTGTGGACCCGATTGTGTGGGCCCGCCCCCGGAGCTGGATGGATCCGGATGGATTCCTGAAGGCCCTGGGGGAATTCCAGGTTGATAAGGCTGGTGCTCCTGTCGAGGCTCTGGTAGAACTATGGAATGGGGAAATGGCCATGGACATGATCGCTCCTAAGCGTCCTCTCTCGCCGGGCAGAGTCCACTCTTCCCCTTGGTATACACCTGAATTGCAGGCGTTGAAGCGGGCTGGGAGACATCTAGAGCGTAGGTGGAGGAAATAATGGGATGAATCTGACCGAACACACTTAAGAGCCCATTATCGGGCCTATGCTGCGGCGGTGAGGGTAGCGAAAAAGAAATTCTTCTCTGGTTCCATTGCCTCCTCACAATGCCGTCCGGCAGAGCTGTTTCGGGTGGTACAAGGGCTGGTTCGTCCCAGCCCTAAAAAAGATCCGGTTCCACACTCGAAGGCCCACTGTGACGACTTTGCCAAGCATTTCAGGGAGAAAATCGCTCAGATTCGTCACGAGCTGGACTCCACTAGTAATTCAGAGGCTTCTGGGGAGATACCAATGTTGCCATCTGGTACAAAATTGATGGATGAATTTCAGCTACTGCAGTCTGATGATGTGGACAAGGTGCTTGGACGAGTATGTCCCACCACCTGCCCATTGGACCCTTGCCCATGTTGGCTAATTAACAATGCCAAGCATGGGATAGGGATCTGGATCTTGGAAGTGGTTAATGCCTCTCTGAGGGAGGGTCGGGTACCTGCCGCTTTAAAGGAGGCGGTAGTCCGACCGGTCCTGAAGAAGGCGTCACTGGATCCAGACATGGCCACTAATTATAGACCAGTGGCCAACATCCCATTTCTGGGCAAGGTGTTGGAGTGGGTGGTGGCGGGACAACTTCAAGCACTCTTGGATGAAAATGATTATCTGGACCCATTTCAGTCTGGCTTCAGACCTGGGTATGGTACTGAATCTGCATTGGTCACCCTGTACGATGACCTGTGCAGGGAGAAAGACAGGGGGAGTGCGTCCCTGTTGGTTCTCCTGGATTCTCAGTGGCTTTTGATACCATCAACCATGGTATCTTTCTGGATAGGCTAGCAGGATTGGGGGTCGGAGGCACTGCTTTGCAGTGGTTCTGCTCCTATCTCAATGGCTGATTCCAGAAGGTGATGCTGGGGGACTATGGCTGTGCCGTGGCAGCTATGCCATGGAGTTCCACAGGGTTCCATTTTGTCCCCCTTGCTATATTCAACATCTACATGAAACCGCTGGGGGAGGTCATCAGGAGGTGTGGGCTGCGGAATCATCAATATGTTGATGATACCCAGCTCTACCTCTCGTTCTCTACCAATCCAGGTGAGGCAATGGCTGTACTGAACCAGTGCCTGGCCAATGTAATGGGCTGGTTGAGGGCCAATAAACTGAAGCTCAATCCAGACAAGACGGAGGTCCTGTTGGTTGGCAGATCGGGCTTCAGGGAAGGGGACCTGAACCTAGTCCTGAATGGGGTTGCACTCCCTCTTAGGGACAAGTTCCGCAGCTTGGGAGTGCTCCTCGACCCAGAGCTTTCACTGGAAGCTCAGGTGACAGCAGTGGTGAGGAACACTTTCTTTCAGCTTCGGCTGATCCATCAGCTGCATCCCTACCTGGAGAATGACTGCCTGGCAACAGTGACACACACGTTGGTGACTTCCCGACTTGACTTCTGTAACGCGCTCTACGTGGGGCTGCCCTTGAAGACGGTCCGGATACTTCAATTGGTTCAAAATAGAGCTGCCAGGCTGCTGATGGGGCCTGGGCGTTATGTTCACATGACTCTTCTGTCAGCTTCACTGGCTCCCCATTGAAGTCTGGGCCCAATTCAAGGTGTTGGTTATGACCTATAAAGCCCTTAACGGCTTGGGTCCTGGTTACCTGAAGGAGCGCTTACATCCATATGTGCCCGGCCGCCCCTTGAGATCAGTGGGAGAGGCCCTTCTCTGGGAAACCTCCGTGAAGGATATTAGGAGGGTAAGTACTCGGAGGAGGGCTTTCTCTGCGGTGGCGCCCAATCTATGGAATGCGCTCCCCAGAGAGGTCCACCTGGTGCCGTTTTTCGGCACCAGGCGAAGACCTTTTTATTCAAACGCTTTTTTAATTGTTAATATTATTTATTTATTTTATTTTTCGGGCCAGGTCGACTCATATTATTTTATACTGTTCTTATTTATTTATTTATTATTGTGAGCGCCCTGAGACTCCAGCGAATGGGGCGGCATAGAAGTCTTCTAAATAAATTAATAAATAAGAGTGCCACTTTTCTCTGTTCCCTTACCTCAGTAAGAATATCAGCAGGAACTCCAGTTGCCATCAGAATTGTACAAAGCTGTTGCAGCAATCCGCAATGAAACATGGCTTTCTGGCAACTGCTGGTGGCTCCTGGGGGATTTGTGGGGGAGACTAACACCCGGACCAGCTGTTAAGAAAAGGAATGTATCACAAAGAAGTACTGAAAGGCCATCTAGAGCACTAGTTTTAAACTTACTTTGTAAGTTAAAATTATGCAAAATTCATGGGACTATGAAAATGAACAAATCAGTTCTTGGTGTCACTTTGATGTTGCTATTACATTACAATGAAAATCATTTACCTGTAGCATTAGATGTAGATTGGTTACTTTCTGTGCTGACCACCCAGCATTATCATCACCAACTTCAAACCATGGCTTCATACGCTGGATATAGGAACCTTCCTTAAAGAAATTCTGATTTGAATTATTGTTCTTCAACAAATTTTGTAGTAAGAGAAGACAATCTTCTACAACTATGCCTGTGAAGACAGAAGGGTTGATGGACGTTAATTTCAACAGTTAAAATGTTGACATTTCCTTAAGTATAAAACTTTCCAATGTAATAAAGAATGTTACGTAACTGTTTTAACAAAATGGGGATCTTGAGAGAATGATGGAGATTTTCTCTCTGCAACTACAAATAACTTATAGTACATAAAGACTAAGGACAGAATGCAGCTTTCCATTGTGGAAAAAAATAAAACCAAGACTACCTGTGCAGTCTAGATAATCTAACAAAACGAATTCATTGGCGTAGTTTCAGCAACTTTTACTGTATTAAGACATAGTATGCTGATTGTTCCAAATACACAGTGAGCCTAGTGAGCAAACACTGCAGAAAGAATAGCCAAATTTAACCTTCTAGAGAAGTCCACAAAATTTGCTAGCTTGATAACACTAGTAACCTGCACTTCTGTGGTGGTGATGAACTTCACCTCTGCTCCAGATAGTTTGTAAAGCAAGTGAACAGGGTGAGGAAGGACAGAAAGATGAAATTCTCATCTACATAGCATTCCTTGTAAACTCTGGCTACCCAATCACAGAATCATAGAACAGTGGAGGGGGAAATCAGGTCTAACCCCCTGCCTCAATGGGGGACTCCAAGTTAAAGCATTCCTAACAGTTGGCTCTCCAATTGCCTCTTAAATTCCTCCTTTGTGGGAGAACCCAGAAACACCCTAAGTGATTGGTTCCGTTGCTCGTTCAGTCAAAGTTTTTCCTGAAGTTCAGCCAGAATCTGGGTTCATATAACTTGTGCTTATTATGATCAAAAAGAGATCCTGGCCCTCCTATGTGAGATCACTTTTCAAATATTGAAGAGTAATATCATAGCTCTCCTTGGTCTATACCTCTCAAGCCTAAACATGTCCAATTCATTTAGTGTCTCCTTGGTCTCTCCTAATTTGTCTCCAGTCCCCTGATCATCTTTGTTGCCCTCCTCTGAATCTTTTCCAGATGTATTACTAAGTAATAGCCTGATCAAATCTGTCCATGTTTCTCTGCTGGAAAGTGATTTGCTCATACAGAGGACAAAAGGTTAATACTCCCTAAGTTATAAGAAGTAGCCACCCCATATAGCAGTATAACAGAAAAGTAAGGACAGCTTGAACAAGATTTTCTTTTAACAGTTGCACTCCTGACTTCTTATAACCAGCCAAAAGACACAAGAAAAAATTATGATGAAACTGAAGCGATATACATGCAATTATCACAACCACCATGTAGGTGCCCCACCTCATTATTAGAGTCCAACATCAGAAAGACTAACTGATCAAGGATTCAGGAACGACTGGAAACAGCAGAATAAAACTAGGGTAAACAATGATACAGCTGAATGGCTTCCCCAACCACCATGAGTCCAGGCATACTTCTAATTTATGAAGGAAGTCATGAATGCTGTATTACAGAAAATACTTCAAATTTACTATCCTCACACAAAATGAGATGCTAGGAGTTAGGCTTTGGTCCAAAAATCAAGCCAGTTCCAATGTTCTGTGGACTGCATGAACTTTTTTCATTGGTTTACAATCACCTGTACCTCTTAAAACAACCCTCCACAAATTGTGATTTTCTATTTAGGTAAAATACCACATATGTTGATAATTGCAAATGAGTAGGTAAACTAACTGCTAACACTTCTATGATGCTGGGAAGTAATCTACTATGTTGAACAGGTTTTGGGAAAGAAAAACCATAATAGGATTGACAATTTATAAGGCACAGTGGAAAAAACAACAAAAGAGTTTTAAGGTTCATGCAGCCACTTTTCAGAAACTACCCAAGCTCAAATATAAAAATAGCTCATATATCTGATACCATCCAATCTGTTGCAAACTATATTCTTGTATTTTAGTGTTCTTCTAACAAATACAGTGCAAATCTAATGTGACTAACCTCAGTGGATTGCAGGATCTCTCACATACCTCTTCCGGAGCTCAGTGCCCATCCCACCCAATCCTGAACCAATCTTAACTTATATTGGTAACAATATTAACTGTTGTTATGGCTAACCAAGATTTCTACTTAACCCAGATTAACACTACATGGTTCAGTGGTTCTCTAATGCTGCCTAAACTATGGTAACAGAATACAACTCTCAAAGGCATACCTCCATCACTGTTTCCCTCATCGGTTATGATATCTAATAATCTCTCAAATGCATTTTCAAAAGCAACTATTTTCTGGATGGCTGCATTACTTTTTGTTAACTGCTGAAGTAACAGGACGACCTGTGGGAAGAAAGACAGAAGTGACTGACAAAATTTTAATCTCAGTGGTGGGGGGCACTTTTACATTCAAGTAGACAAGGCCCTATCTGTTTGCTGGGTGTCTCTCCTAAAGACTCCTAAGAGTTTCTGATCTCTTAAATTGAAAAAAAATCCCTTTGACATGCCTTATTTAGCTGCACAAACTTTTATTACATTTTTATATAGCTCAATAGACAAAGCTACCCAATTAGTTGGTGCATTGTTTTTAAAAGTTATAGTAAGCTAATACAAACCATACTAAATGCATGAAATGTATCTTTTTCTTGTTTATTTTAGGCTCAAAAAACTTTGTTTTATTGAGAAGTATGAAAGGGCTTACAAATTAACTCACATGCCAAAAGCATGGGACTTCTAAGTTGTGGAAGCAATTAACACATCCTATGAGGTTTTTCATAATGGGCTACCCTCTTTTGTTCCCATCTCTGTCAAATGAGATATTGCTGAGGGGAATGCAGAAATGTTCCTCCAGAAGTCTGTACCATAAAGGTTAACCAGCTGCAAGGAAGATTAGTTGGTTTTAGTAAATAACCTCTGTGCACTATTTCTTTTACTCTATGCTCTGCAGCGAACTCTACCAATGCTAGAGTTCCATTGCCTCTTTACTCCCAGTAGTGCTACAACTGTTTGCAGACCACTCTTCATGCCCCTGCTGCTTGACTGTAATTGGCTGAATGGAAATTATATCCTATGCTATGCAAGTGAAAGAGTTAGCAACCTGCAGAGAAGCATTGGACGCCTTCTTTTTTGATGCTGAAGGCATATATCTTTTTGTTCGTTACCTCTATGAGAATATCTTCAAGAAAGTCTCTTAACAATCCATTAATGCAGAAGTGGCCAGGTTGGATTTAAATGTTGCTCATGCCTTAAATTCACAGCTACTGTTGTGGCTGCATAATTATTCTGCTTAATGACAAGTGGTATATCAACAGCGATAGAATTCATGATGGCCTGCCAACATAGTTATTTCAAACTAACTCAGCATATCAAGTGGTTATCTGGGGTTCAGTATTTGCATTAGACTAACAGAAAATAGAAATATTGAGACAAATATATTTCAGTGAATTTTAAAAATTTTAATCAGAAGGCAACACACCAGCTCCAGCAGGCTCCAGAATGCCACAGATTTTTTTGTCATCTATTTGTTTGGCCCACCAGTTCACCTAGGGTGTTTTTTATGCTGAATTACAATTTGAAAGAGGCCAAACTTGATGTTTATGTTTTGGTACATTTGTGAATTAGAAGTCTCTTCACACTGATGAAAAAGAAGCAAGCAGTTTAATGATAAGATTGATGTCCCATCTCTGCAAGTCACTGTGTGTGGTGGTTAAGAGTACAGGACTGGGACTCAGGCAACCTGCTTTCCAGGCCCCACTCAGCCATGGGTGACTCTGGGCCAGTCACAGACATTCAGCCCAACCTACCCCAGAGGCTTGTTGTTGTGAGGATAAGAGTGAGAGGAGGAGAATTATGTTAAGTTGCCTTGAATTCTGTGAAAGAAAAAGAGGTGGGATATACATTAAATAAATTTCTTTTTTTGAGTTAGAGTTCTACCTCTGTACTTCACCTTAGCTATATTGTAGAACCTTGGCTCAAATTCTGAATAACAAAAGTGCATGCCAGAAGGGATTACAGTATAAAGCTATGACAGCTGAGAGTCTTTCTCTCTCTTTGGTTCATATATGCTGAGGCTGAATGGTAGGGAATACCAACCACCAGATGCTACTGCCCATGAATTGACTAAATGTGAATCTGCCCAAACTATCCCTAATCTGCCTGAAACATTTGTCTAGATGTTTGTGGAACAAAAGTTTCAAACAAAGGATAGTCTGGAGTTGAAGTCTCATATACTGTATCTCCATCCACACCATTGAAATAATGATTTTGAGGGCATTAGCAAGTTTAAAACTCCTGGTCATTTGCCAGTAGCTGGAAAGACTTGAGACAGGAATTCTTTCACTTTGACTTACTGCACAAATTAGTTCTTGATAATTATATGCAAATTAAAGTCAGAGACAAAACCATAGTGTGGAGTTGGAACTGAAAGAAAGCAAAACCTTAAGAGAGAGGCATTACCCTTATTAAATCACATGTAGCAATCTCTTAAACTTCTCAATTTTACCCCTTGGAAAATTTCATCAAAGTGCAAAGTGCTAAAAAACTAAGCAAAATAAAGAGTTTATTCACATTCATTTTCTGTAAGCAGTCATTTACTTTGGGAATTGGACATATAGGCTGTGTTCAAATATCATGCCTGTTAATGAGCGAACATGCCAGTGCATACTGCTCAATAATTTCTACTTGGCTCCTCCTGCCAGCAAGCATGGCTAAAGTCAGGGACAAGCCAGAGATCTTAGCACAAACCATGTGGTAAACAAACCATGTTCTGAGCATTCTTGGCACGAGGATGCTTGCTTGTTCACAATAATCCAGAGTTTCAAAGAACTCTGGATTTGCATGTGTCGATGCTGCTGTTATGAACAAAAAAGCACTAGCACTTATTGTTCCCTGCTAGAAAATGCATGTTTTCTTAGTAACAAAACTCAGAGATATATTAGTTTTTCAGAGGGCTGGTTCACATACGAGCAAGCCTTGGACTTCCACATTTTTCTTTACTTCATGTACTTCAAGTCTAGTTTGTGGCAAGCAGTAATTTGTGCTTGATCTTATGCAAAAGAATCCAGCACTCTCGTACATTCAGAAAATTAGCTTAGCGATGCACGGCAAACTGGCCAAATTTTTTGTTTCAAGATGTGTTTGCTGTACATCACTAAGCAGACAACTTATTTAAAGCTACTTTTCTGCAAACATGCTTTCACAAAGTTCTGCAGTTATTGAAGTCAACACATGTACCATATATAATGCCCTTATTAATTTACTGCAGGCATATTTTCTTGGGCTCAAGGGCAGAAAAGGAGGGATTGGGTGAAGAAGAGTGGTTTTATTGTTTAGAAAGCAATTTCACCATTGAAAAAAGATTGTCTCCCACTGTAAAGATAGATTATTTCTACGTACATCATACCGTATGACCTCTCTAGAATCTACCAGTAGGTCCATCAGCCTTGAAACACCTGAAAGAGAAAACCATAATAGGAGATTAAAATATGGTTGCTTAAGGTCATCTAGCCTAATACTGTCTACTCTGCAGGGCAATGGATTCCATGTTTTCAAGTAGAGGCTTTCCCCAGTCCTGCTATGGAAGTCCTTTTATTTGTTCTTATTAATTTATTATACTTGTATTCTGCAGTACTAGTTCCATAGGACTCTCTAGGTGGATTACAACAAAGCAATTTATAACAATGAATACCCAGGCTCATTCATACCAAAGCAATTCATAATTGGAATACGAAGGCTTGAACCTATACTTTTCTACACCTGATTACCAAGATAAGGCTCCTGTTTTATGTTGACAGATCCATAAAAAGAACACTTTCTCAAAAGCTTACTGACATTCAGAAAATTAAAAAGAAAGCAATGTATTAGTTTGTATCACTACATCATACCATATATTCTAGGTAAATATCCTGCAACCAACAGGCAATACTTTTGCCCAGTTTAGGAGGATACATTTGCATTGTTCTAGATGCTGTTTGACACTTGTTGTGGGCGTAATATCAGATCCAATCTTATATCTGAGAGACAAAGTGGTCTCACTGGCACAAAGCACTTTTCACTAAAATATGTTGGTGAACCAGCTGTAGCTTATCCTAGACAGAAACAGATGGGGCACAGTAAGTAATGTTCTAATGTTCATTTAGATTATTGCAATGCACCCTTGAAAACAGTGCGGAAACTACAGATCCCAGCCAACATATTCCGTACTAACGATAGCTGAAATACACCTATCTCCTGGCCCATTTCTGTAGCAATTCAGGGTGCAGGTTTTATCCTTTAAAGCTCAAATAGCTGTCAGACACTTTCTCCCATATGAATCTCCCTTAATATAAAGATATCCTAAGGACCCTTGGCCCTTCTGCAATCTACCCACAGCTTGCATCTGATAGCATGGGTATTGAGAAGGGATTCTCTGTTGTGGCACTCCACTGCTGGAATGTGCTCACTAAAAAGACCTGTCTGACACCTGTTCTTACTCTTTCAGCACTAGTGAAAACAATTTTATTGAACCAGATTTTACTGTGTTCCAATTTTTAAATGTTTCAATTGCTGGTCTTACCTCGTTTTGTTGTTGAATTTACATTGTTTTGATTTTAATATTTAATAAAAGAGGGTAGCAACAAGGAGGAGGACCTTTTCTGGATTGGCACCCCAACTATGGAATAAGCTCCACAGAGAGGTTTGCCTGGTGTCCTCTTTATACTCTGACACCAGGAGAAGACCTTTTTATTTCAACAATATTTTAATTGTTAGTTTTTAATGGCATTTTAATGATGGGATACCTTTTAATGAAATTATTAGCTCTGTGAGTGGGTGCATTTTTATTATTTTATTGTTCTTAATGTTTTACTGTAATTCGTGATTTATATTTTATATTGTAATTATGGTTTTATTGTAACCTGCCAGACAGCTGTGTGGCTAATGGGGCAGGTTAGAAATCCAACAAACAAAGAAACTTTTTCAGATATCATTATACCAAAAAGCAGCATACGCATGTATGAAATACAATATGAAATACTTACCCATAGGACTGACTAGTATTATCTGCTGCATCTGGGGTCCTTGTTGTTTTAACAACACTGTAAGAAGTTTCACTCCAGGCCACCGGACATGGAAATCAAATTCCTGCAATTGATCATGGCATATATCAAGCTCCATAGTATTTCATTGCTAACATTATTCTGGACAGGCCAATATTTACATATACAGTGGTACTTCAGCTCACAAACACCTCAGTTCACGAACAAATTGGGTCGCGAACAAAAATTTCATAAAATTTTTGACTCAGGTTGCAAACTCCACATTGGGTGGCAACCATGATCGTGGCCACCCCCCCCCCCCCCCAAGCGGGGAGATGGCCGAGATCGTGTCTGTCTTTCCTGCACGAGTGCAACCACGATCTCGGCCATCTCCCCCCCAGCGCACCAGGATGACGGGTGCATGCAGGGATGACGGGCGCGATCGCAGTCATGCTGGGGAGGGGAGGAGAGATGGCCATGCTCGGGGTGTGGGGGGAGATGGCTGCAATCTTTGTTGTTCTTTGTCACTTTGCTTCACATTTTTCCGATTTTTTTTTAAAAAGTTACAAAACAGATTAACGTTATTTACATTGAACCTTATGGGGAAATTTAACTTGGCTCATGACCAATCTGGGTCACGACCAGAGTCCTGGAACCAATTAAGTTTGGAGCCAAGGTACCACTGTACTTATTCTAAGCCAGCAGTGGGCAGATCAGGATATATGGGTAGATATCTGGCCAATTTACAGTAGATCAGCAAACAAGACAAGAAGAGGGAAAAGAAGGGGGCAAAACAAGAATTGGATTTGTGCGTACAAGGACTTAAGCTTTGTTCTGACCGTTGAACACATGCTCAGAGGTACTCTGTTGCTTAATTCTTACCATATGTCCATCCACCTAAACCACTATTTTGCATTTGACTTAGGCTGATAGATCTCGGGCTTCTAGTGGAAAAACAAAGTAGATTCTACAACCCTGAAGTGCATGCCCACCTCATTCTAAGTCATAATAAAGCACAAGCATTTAAAACATTTAGTTTTAGTTGAGTAATATCTGTATTCTTGTCTGAAAGACAAATTAAGCTAACCATACTAGTAGCATTTGTAGACTGCTTCATATACACTCTCAATAATCTTTACAATTATCCTGTGAGGTAGGCCAGTATTATTATTCTCTTATTGAAGTTGGGCACTGGACAAGAAACTAAAGAATACGAACAAGAGAGGATTGCTTATTTAAGGCCACCTACTGTATCTGTGGCAAAGGTAAAATTCACACCAGGAACAAGTTCTTTCACAGCTAAGTCATTAACAACTTAGTGTTTCTGAAAAATCTATTGTAAGAATTTTCCATCTGTATGTATGACAATTCTGGTTTCCCTCATATATCAATCTAAGAAGCTTGAAGGCATAAGATGAAAGAACAAATTGAGCTCTTGCCTAGAGAAAGGGGTATAACTGGAAAATGCTGGAAGTATCCTGATTTTCCCTGGTCTAATTTTTCTTATTTGTCAAGTAATTTTAATTTATTTAAGAAGGAATGTATTCATCATCTAGCCCTCCTAGCTCCATGGGACAGAATATTCTGTAGCCTAATGACTGTCCTCATCCACTTCTCAGAAAACTGTTCATTATATTATTAGGGAGCTCACAATCTGTGTGCCTGTTTAAAAAAGAGCAGTTCTCACCTCTAAATAGCTCAGCAGAAGAGTGACATTTTCTTGTTGCTTAATAAATATTTCTGTAAATTGACTTCCAAGATCTTCAGCAGGTTTCTGCACATTTTCTTCTGTAATATTAATGATCCAATTACCACCCAGCCTCAAAGAGTTTCAGAGCTTCCAAACAGGACAAGTTGCAATATATATAATATGCAAATATAAAACAACCAAATCTAAGCTGTATGATGCAAGGGGCAGAAATACTGAACATTAAAATGTCTCTTTGCCATGACCCAGGACCTGAAACCTCATAATCACAGCAGTCTGATTCCTTGTCCTCAGAAGAAGGTACTCCAGAGGTAAATGGCTCAGGAGAGAACTGCACCATGAGCCTTCCATCTGCCCAGGATTTAGTTTTCCAAAAAGATGCCAAAGACTAGCTCCCCCAGAACAAAAGAAAAATATGTTAGTATCCTCCGACTCTGAGGTCTTGGTCCATAAGGAAACAAGCATGCCAGAGCTACCCCCACATGGTTGTTATCTGAAATTGACAGAAAAGGACAGCCCCCACCCTCCAAGACAACTAGCCTAAAAGGAGGAGGAAGCCTTTTTTTTATTCAGTTCTGCTCCTTGTTGGAGCAACACACAGATAACCCTATCAGGCTTTCAGTTACACTTGGGGAATTCTGTAGAGCTGATCCATGCTTCCTTATGAAACCTGATCTATTTACACCTCTGCTCAATATCAGAACACAACAGAACCCTGCAATGCAGAGTACATATTATAGGATGCTGCTACTTAAGTCATGTCTGACAACCCTCCTTCCTTATTAGACTAGTCAGTATTGCTTTCTTCCTGTCCTAGAAGAGACTTGTTCAATAACGATTGCCTGATGAGGCAAGGTAAGATGAGGCAGTACTGGATCCCCCTGAGGTATACTTATTCACTCTCTGTGGTGGAACTGGAAGCCTGTTAAACTAATTTCCCTACTCACCTTTGAGTAGGTAGGGGATTTGCAAATACATTAGAGGAGTGATCTGATTTAATTCCCTTATGAAAAGTGTTATATTAAGGCTGGCATTACTGAAGCAGCTGGTCACTGATTCCTCCAACCTCCTTCCTTATCATCTTTAGAGAAATTGTTTTTCATTTAATATAGAGGGAGGCAAGGAGAGATACTTGCAAGTCAGAAGTCTAAGGAAAACCAAGTGAGAGGGAATAGAATCTACCCCCACTGTAAAATAATCCAGAACATAAACGTGGCTGAGCTGGAAAGCCTGCCACACCCCCTAAGGTACTGCATGCTAATATAATTCAGTTTCTTTTACCTTCAGAATCATCTGTAAAGGCACAGAAGAGAGAAAGGTTCAAAAGTGAAGCAACTTTTCATTTAGTACTGCACAAAAGATTGGTTAATAGTGTAACATTGATTCCTAAAGAACTCAAGATCATCTCTACAGTGGTTACCTGATTAGCCCAAGCACTCCCAATCAAATGTTCCTAAGCCCATCTTCTGAAGGCCTCATAGTTCATTGAAGACTCTGCAACTTTCTTTGTTCATACCACTTTAACGCTTGACTTCAACCCGTTTGGGTTCTTACAAGAAACAGATGTCCTACTGTGGGATATCATGGCTGAGCTAATTGTGACCAAAACCATTCACAAAAATCAG